CGCCACAAGCATATAATAATTGTGGCTTACTTGACTGATTCAAAAAAAAAAAAAAGAAAAGAAAAAAAAGACCTCAACGTTATGAGAATTCGTCTAAATAGACTCTAATTATGTATTTTACACGTACCTACTTTTTAAGGTTTCTTTGAAATAAAGAAAGTTGCCCACGAGCTACGCGATTGCATTTTTCAACTGGCTTATTCTCAATTTTGACCCAACGTCGTCGCGCTTTTACCGTTATATGTAATTTTTTTTTCTTTTTGCTTTGACTTTATAATAACAACTCGACAGGCTATTTAAGAGAACTTTGCAAACTGGCAAGAGGTGTCGTAAAACAAACATTCAGACTGGACGTAAGAAATCGTTTTTCGAAGAAAAATCGAATCAAATTATAATATATATATATATATATATATATATATATATATATATATAGTTCATTCATCAGAAATAATACACTTTTCTTTTTTCAAGAAAAATCAGAAAAGGATTATATCAGAAAAGGACTAAAAAAAGGGGGGTATATGTCGATAAGTAATTTGTTGTCTTTTTTGTTGCTCGCAAGTTTTTTTTTGTTTTTCGTTATTATATATATATATATATATATATATATATATATATATATATTAATCAGATAAATATTTTATGGACAAGTGTTGATAGAAATACCATGCATTTTCATTAAATAATTTTATACACTGGTTATAATGACAAATTTATCAAATGCGCGAACCATGTTGAAATGTGAAATCACATTATTTCGAGATACCATAATTTCTCTCACTCGGTTCTCCCTCCCGCCGATTGTGACGAGTGAGTAACTAAATAATTCATGTGCCCTGCTTAATTGATATACCTGTATTAACATGAGCAAAATGTGACGTATATGAGCTTTCTAATCTGAGGAAGTTCAAGTCGATACTAATTATAACATATAGCAGTCTTCGTGTCTTCACTGTCTTCAATGTTCTGATGAGTGTCATATTTCCGCGCAGTTTTAAACATTATACGCGATATATTATATCTCACGAATTTTTCAATAATTGACTTATAAAATATTTAATTATCTATAATAATATAAAATAAAATATACAATGCTTTAAAAAAATTTGCATTAAAGAATTAAAATTTATTATGTTTCATTTATGTGGGATCATCCATATATATCACGTGGACACGTCATTAGGGGTGGAGTAGGTGTTTAAAAATGTCCACGATTCAATTTATTTTTATGCCCACAATGGGGTATGGGGGGGGGGGTTCAAAATCAGTAAAAAATTATCTCTATGTACATTCAGGAAAAAAGTATATTTATTGCAGATGAGTTATAAATAAATGGTTATATTTAGTTAGAATAAAAAATTTCTCTGCGTGTATAGTGATACAGACAATTGACGTTGTGCGTAAATAAAAACTTAATATTTAAAAGAAGAAAAAAAAATTATAGTGCCCGAGGAGCTAGAAACAATGATAAAATATTGCACCTGCGCCAATTTGGTGTACGTAGAATAATATTAGAGAAGAAAAAGGGTAGGTGGAACAACACATACATATATATAGAATCTTGGTTATCATCGCGCAGGTGCATTGTGCATGGATTTTTGTTGAGTGAGTCTAAAGAAGAAAAGTAGTTGAATAAATTAAAAAAATTTTTAAATAATTAAAAATTTTTCTACTAATAGATTTAAGCATAAAGTAATAAAAAAAAAAATTACGATAAAGAAAGGAAAACAAAAAGATGATCAAGTATGTATTTAATCATATTTAAAATCTTACAAAAGAATTTTTTGTTAAAATGTTTTTAAAATTATATTCTGAAGAATAATAATTATTAAAAATTACCTCGTAAAAAAAATTATTTATTTTTAGCAAAACAAGTGTTTTTCAAAAACATCTTTAAAAAAAATGAGACCGTTAAAAATATTTATTTTTTTTAATGTATATTCTATGCGCAAGTTAGGTTTCCTCGCATTGTTGGGTTTTACTACTTAGTAAATGTGTGTCTCCAAATTGTGGAAAAATTATAGTCATTAAATTACTAATAGTATGCACAAAGTGTAATGTTTATTTTAAAGAGTATAGTGTTATATAACGTGTGACATAAATATCAATATGCATTTGAAAAAAATATTTATATATACTTTAAATATATATGTACATAAAAGAGAAACAAAAATATTATTTAAAAAATTAGTTTCTCTTTATTTAAAATAATGTTATTTATAAAGATTTTGTGTGTGATCTTATTAATAATTCCCTTTATACGAGAAAACCTAACTGGAAATATAAAGACTTAAAGACTAACATGCACATAGTATCCAAAGTACATTTGTAATTTACTTTTCTAATATGTTTGTAGAATTATAATAACCTGAACAATAACAGTAGTTCTTATTCTAAGTAACTCACTGTTATTCCGTTATTATATCTGCAACAGTTACTATCTTCAACAAGAAATCAATTCACAAAATGCTAGGATATTCTTTAAAAAAGAAAAGAAGATATTGTATAATGAGAATTATAATAACAAAAAAAAGTAAAATATACCTTACTATATTCTTTTTCAAGGAATAATGTATCCTAAGCTAATATACTAATAACAAATTAGTTCTTCATTAATATCTTTCAACTTCTTTTATATACATGCTGAAAATTGCTCATTGTTTACAAATTACAACAAATAAGAAAACTGGTTCGTGAATTAGTTCATGTTGAAAGAATAGGATCGTGGCATTTAGATTAATCGCAGTGGTGTAAGAACCGGTGGGGTAAGGGGGGAATTGCCCCCTCCAGTCTTTAAAGAAATATGCAAAAGTACATTTTTTTGCTCTCCTATAGAAAAAATCCATTCCTATACGCCCCTGAGATTAATACAGTGGAACCTCGATTATCCGAACTTTTTTTGCCTTCCCGAATCTTTCGTTTATTTAATTTTTTTTCTATACAATTTTTAAGAAAATATGTACCAATTATGAAAGATGAAAATATAATCTCTTATACAACATCCAGATATCAAAGATATCCTACGGATGTCGTAGGGATATCATTTGGTTCGGAGAAATTAGGATATTCCTCAGATGTTAATCGTAGATAACCTCTAGGGATATCCTAATTTCCCCGAACCAACACTGAAAAAAATGTATTTAATTCAAATAATCTGTTACTTGACTATTATCAAATAAATATTTAGTTGTATTAAATAATTATTATTCGGGTAAAATTAATTAAATTTCATAGTCAAGTAACCGATTATTTCACTGAAAAAAAATTCAAGTTAGAATAACCAGAATTCTAGTTAGAATAACCAGAATTCTGGTTAGGGTATATTTAACATTTTGATACTGGTTAGGTTAACCAGAATTCTGGTTATTTTAACGAGAATTCTAGTTAATTCAACTAGAATTCTGGTTAACATAACTAGAAAGTAATGTTAAATATATAGTCTAACCAGAATTTTTTTTTCAGTGTTGAGTTAAATAACTTTTTTCAGTGAAATAAAATTCTTAGGACGTCTGTAGGGCATCATGAATATTCTGGTTGCTGTTATGGATTTAATATAGAAACAAAAAATTTTACATAACAATAAACAAAATTCGTTTCTTTTATTTTTGAATAATTTTATTCTTTCCCATACAATTTTTGAATAAATAAATTTTAATTATGAAAGATAACTTGCAAATATATTAAATTTAGCTTCACACGAAAAAAAGTAGAATTTTTATCCCAAAATCGGTATAAAAATTAGCGGCAACAAATTTTATCCTAGTTGAGGGCGCCACCGTCTATGTGAATTAGCATTGGTGAAAAATTACCCGCAACAAAATTTACCCAGCGTTTTTTCTGTGTTTGTGTATATAGTAGAATTTACTGTGCTACTATTTATTCTTTCATGATTTGAAAGCAATCTTATATTTGTTTCCTTCTCTTTTTATTCTCTCTTAAAACTGTTGTACCTACATTACCAATATGGCGCAGATGCAATATTGTAATGATTTCTAACCCTTTAGGTAGTGATTTTGTTATTTTCGAATCTTCAAATCAACGGAATAATTAAATTGATGGATTAGAAAAGATTGACATAAGGATATTAGTTGTTCTTCTAGGGATATTGAATATTAATTGCAAAATTATTATTATTATTATTATTATTATTAATTAATTAATTAACATTTAAATACTACACTTATTTTTGAAGTTCGACATTCGGTTTATATGAACATTGTATCGTCAATTGTCCAATATAAAAAAAATCTAGTCTGTTTAGATATTTGTGGTGAAAAAAATTTGTCTCGGTATATGTTAAAGGAAAGATTTTTTCGTAATTACTGCCATAATTCTTGCTGTTTCTGTCATATCGTATCTGAATTAACATGGCACTGTTACAGTTTGGGTAATCCAACCAAACGAATAATACTTCCAAAGAGCAAGATGTCTGAATCAGACTTCACATGGCTAATATAACCCAACTTACCTGCCAATTTGACAGACTATAACCAATTCAACCAGAACTTTCAACCATAATAAGTTTATGGCTGAAATTTCGATAGCATTTCATTCCGTGTATTGTTATTTAGGGCACTCTAAATTTGAATTAGTAAAAAGTGAGCTACTAATTCACATTAATAAGAATTTTTACTAATTTTTAGTGAAATATTACTATTTGATTTAGTAGTTTAAATTTTTTTTTACTAAAGTCTTAGTAAAAAGTGACTAAAAATTAGTTAAAATTCTTTCTAATTTAAATTAATAGCTCACTTTTCACTAATTCAGATTTAGAGAGGGTAGTTGGAGTCATCCATAAAGTGATGTGATATACTATAGGAATTACAGGAGGGAGGGAGGTGTGTCAGCAAAATATCACGCTCCATGTTTACCATATAAATGAAGGAAAAAGGGTTTGATATACTTTCATAAATATGTATCACATATGGCCTTGAGGATGACCCCAGTAGTTGTCCATTGTTTTGACTATAAAAATGATAAAAAGTAAAAATATGAACCTGCTAGCCTATCCTTTAGATGCGGATGCGCCTGTAGAGGATGGGGAGCAAGATTAGCAAAGAAGCTAGCTCTAAGTCCAGCAGCTGCAGCTTGTTGTTGACTATGCTGTAGAGCTTGCAAATTCCAATGAGGTATCAGTGCCTGATTAGGTACTCCCGAGGTTGGTGCGCCATTCGTACCCGGTGGCCTGTGTGCCGGCACCCTAATGACTCCACCTCCGGTGTATATAAGTCCAGAACCACCGGGAAAAAGTCTGAAAGGTGCTAATAAATCATTCGAATGAATTGAATGACTGGTGGGAATCTCGGGCGTACTTCCAGTATCGTCATCATCGTCTTTCTCCGAAGTTTTTTCCTCAGCTTCTGGCTCCCATGAACGTCTTCCATCTTCCAATGTCGACGTTCGATTATTACTTTCCTCCCATGTCCATGACGATCTTCGATCTTTGTCACTGTCCAAATCTTCGGACGATGGACTTTTTGGATTTTGACTTCTATTCTCACCGAGAAGTCGACTAATGCTAAATGGATGACTTCTCGGTGGTTCCGATTGTAGAGTCTTTGTACTTGTTTGATTGGGAGGTGGGGAATTGGAACACTCGGACGGGACATCATGATGATGATGATGATGATGATGATTCCTGTTAGAATCGTGATGGTGCAAATAGTTCCTGGGACTACAACTACGAGAATCGGAATCATCGACATTTATCTCCTCCGCGGCATCCACATCACTATCTGCGTGATCCGACATAATTTCTATTTGATATCGGATCTGCAACTTTTACGACTCACGTTTTTATATGCACTTTAAAATACAATCATGTTGTTGAGTCCATTAGAATTTCTAGTTTTTTGTACTACATCTTATAATGATGTGTTAAAGAACATTATGTTTGATGAAATTTTTTCTCTACGATATATTTTATTTTAATTTATTTTATCTGATAAATGGTGTATCAATCTGACTTAGATTTAAAGTAGACATTAAGAATATTATTATATGGAATATTTGTACTGCAATAAATGTTGACAGATAAAATGTGTAAATTACAAAGGTCGCTTGAAAGTAAGATGCATTGAATGTATTATGCGAGATCAGCCGTGACGCTGTGATGTTCATCCGACGTTGTCTGATTATTTCATGCACTGTTGAGCCTCGAAGATTCCTCTCAGGTCTAGTTTTCTTTCCGGCGGACGGAATGGGAAAGTGATTGGTTTCGCGGTATCCTTGAAATAACGATAATTCGTGGTATCCTTGAAAGCTAAAGGGGAATTCATTCCTACAAAGAATTTATAATTCAGTCTTCTTTATGTCACGTACACTATTATCCATATTTATAAACGATCACTCTTGCACAAGCAGAAACAATATCTATTCACAATAAATTCATAATCCTCTCTTGTCACCATAATTATAAGGGTCACAACCATCACTTGGTAGCACATAGGGGGATTCACTATCACTAATTTCTCGTGACAAAAATTGAAAGATCGCGGTCACGTGACAAAATCGCGAGATGAATCGTGACTCGCTAACCCGATGTCGTTGCTTGATCGTGGTGAAGTGAATCAGACCGGTCTCACAGGATAGGAGACGGTTGAGACCAGAAAGGGAGAGGTGAACCAGGTGGTTAAGCCCCACTATGCAGTGAATACGAGAGAGAGAGAGTGGCGCGCGCGCAAAAGGTGAACCTAACCTTAGGCATCTATGGGGCATCGCCTATCCTTTGGTACATGGCCAATCACATCACCACTTGGCACGCCCTACTGCTCTCTTATTGGCTCTGAGCAAATTGATACCTATTTAACATTTGAGTAGAATGTTGCAGGCGATCGCCTCTTTTCTCCCTCTGTATTATTTATTGCGATCGCCTTTTTTCCCCGCTCGCTTGCTCACTTGCCAACCTTAACATCATCCTTTCTCTCTCTCTCTTACACTCTACCGCGTCCCGCCGCGGCGACCCGAAGAAGCGGAGGGACTTAATTACGGCAAATATTGTACGACTCCTCCCCCTACACCCTTAAACTGCATGATCCTCTCACTCCTTGAGATATCTACTTATTCTTTCTTGGACGATTTTCCATCTCCCCTCGTCCAACACCCTTTAAGAGTGTCTATGAGGTTTCATACTTTTATTATAGGTTATCGCAGTTGGTGTACTTAACTTTTTTCTTAGCAAACAGTGTATTTTCGCATTGTTCACAACTTGATGGCAATTTTTTCAAGTTTTGATTGGTGACTGTTTAAGCTTTTCAATTTAAGTGATTTATTTTCTGTATCTAAATTTTAATTACTGAGAATTCGTTCACCAATTTAAATTAGTCGAAATTTTCACTAATTTTTAGTAAAAAATTACTATATTTGCATTAGTGATATTTTTTTACTACACAGAAAAAAAGAATTGCTTATACAGATGCTAACTGATGTTTGCTATCGGATTTATCAAAATTAGCAACCACAACTAAATTTTTTTGCTATGACAACGAATAAGTTTACTGTGATAAACAATATCAGTGTTAATTTTTTTAAAAAACTTACTATCACTGCAAACTTTTTTGACCTCACAGCAAATTTGTTCGCTGTCCCTGTATTAGCTAAAGTAATTAGCAAATTACGTTAGCTAATATTTGGATAGCGAACAAAATTTGCTGTGGGGTCAAAAATCTTGCTGTGACAGTAAATTTTTAAAAATTAACACTGATATTATTTATCACAGCAAACTTTTTCGTTTTCACAGCAAAAAATTTAGCTGTGGTTACTAATTTTGATAGATCCGATAGCAAACATCACTTATCATTTGACAGCATTTCTTTTTTTTCGTGTAGTTCGCTGTCACAGCAAATTTTTTCTATAAAGTGTAATTAAAGAAGTGAATCTTCTCTTTTTCAAACGTTGCAATACTTTTGTCCCACCGAAATGTCTGTTTCTACTGAAAGGAAAAGTAGAAAACGTGTGTTCCTCACGGTTTTGAATTTTAAGTAGTGAAAACAAGATTTTAGTCAGACATCTTAAATTCACAAAACTAGACCAATTATAAAATTATAATACCATTTAAATATAATTTTTTCTCTCTAATTTTTCGTTTCTGTTTTTACTGATCAAAGTACAAAATTCAAATAAATGTTTTTTCAGAAACAATTGGCATGTTAATAATGAAAACTTCTATTGTTTGGTTTTTGTTTCAATTAATTATTCAATAAAAATACACAGTAATTATATAGCTATTGTTATATAATAACAATTATTATTTTTATAATTTTAATATTCATAGTTAAATAATATATGTAATATCTTTTTTAAGAAAAGGAACTATATTTTTAAAAGTGAATAAATTTCGAATTACGAGTATCCTAAATTCTCACAATAAAAAAAAGTAGAGAGATAGATATACGTTTTCCAGAAACTATTGTGTATTGAAAGTTATTTAGTTTCTTTCTTAGTTTTATGAATGTTTCTCGAAAATAAAATATATTGAGAATAGAAAAATAAAAAAAAAAAACCTTTTAAGTGAAAATAATACATTCCAATGTACTGTTAATAAGCAGTATAATATTAGAAAAAAAAATTATCTTCCATTGAAAATTATCTCCAGTAACGTTTATTGTTCATATATATAAGTCTAGGTGTGAATGGTGTCGACTAACAATTCTAAATAACAGTTACCACAAAGTGTAGCAGAACTCTTACTTGGACAATTACAGCTGTCTCATTCATTGAAGGAATAGTTTACTGACGATTACTTGCGGAGAATTTATTTTTTTTTTTGCTTGCTTTTCATTCTTTTGAAAGTGTTTTTATTTGTTTAAAAATGTTTCATTATGTTTTTTAGAATTTTTAAAAATTTAGTTATAAATTATCATATTAATTAGGTATAATTTATTAATTATTTATTAATTTATTAATTTAAGTAAACCTAAAAATTATAAAGTAAAAAATTATTTAAAGTCACAAAGTGAGTAAACGAAAATTTTTTTTAAAATCTTTTAAATGTTGAAACTAAATTGAAAATCGAGATTAGTAAAAGTTGAAAAAATTAGTGAATATATTGTTTTACACGCATAAAAAAAAGTTTTTTGTGGCAGCGAACTTTTTACTGCCACATCAAATTACGTTACCTAATATGGGGACAGCAAAAAAATTTGCTGTGGGGTCAAAAAAGTTTGATGCATCAGTAAATTTTTAAAAATGAAGACTTATATTGTTTATCATATCAAACTTATTCGTTGTCATATCAAAAAAATTTAGCTGTGGTTGCTAATTTTGATAGATCCGATAGCCAACATCAGTTAGCATATGTAAGCAATTCCTTTTTTCCTTGTATTAAAGTTAAATTTAGTGCAAAAATTGGTGAATCTTAAAGTAAAGTAAAAATATAAATCCAAATAATTTAAACGACTTTAAATAAATTTTAAAATTACACTTAAAGATAAGATATATACCTATTTGTTTTAGAGACAAACAAATATTTATTTGTTTAAACAAAAATTGTATTTGCGCTAAATAAATTTCTGTTATTTGAAGTAAATAAAAAGTTATTGAGACAAATACATTTTTATTTGATTCAAACAAATTTTATTTGTCTGCAATAAATGCAAATAAAAAATTTCTTTAAATGTAAAGATTATTTTGTGGCATAATAATAATTATTATATTATATCATATTAAATAATTTAATAATAATAATCATATTAAATAATTTGACCTCTATTATTTCTTATTATCATATTTTCTATATGTTAAGGAAGAATTGCACTAGTCAAAGAAAAAGCATATAGTATAGTTCAATTTCACATTTTCGTATTTTTAAATACAAAAATTATTTTAAATGATTTTTCAGTAAAAGTGTAAGCAATATTATTTTTAACACTTTGAATCATTAAAAGTTTTATTTAGATTAAAATAAAAAAAATCTTTACTGAGAGAAACAATTTTTAAAGTTTAGGTTATGTTACCTAAATTTTTAATTGTTTAAAATGTTAAAAATTAAATTTTTTTAAAGTTACATTGAAACACTTTAAAAATCTTATTGTTATTTTATTTAAAAATTCCAAATATGGAGTTGTTTGTATGCTAATTTATTAAGGAGGTACACAAGTTTTTTTTATTTATATTTATACTTTAAATTTTTGTATAATTTATTTATTTATTTATGTACAGAAAAAATAATTTTTGAAATGTTTAAAATTTTCTTTTAGACAAGAAAAATTATTAAAAAAAAAAATAACACTCTAATTGAATGCAATTGTAAAAAAATATTTTACAAATTTACAAACATATTATTTAGAGTATTCTCAAAGATTAAAAGTATCATTCATTTCACATTTTGAAAATGAATTGAAACAATTGTAAGAAAAAGTCGAAGGGATATTATATATACTGTAATTATTGATCGATCGGTGTTCGAGTAAAAAATGTTTAAATCGTTTCTGGTTCGCACTTATTGTCAGTAAGTACACTGTGCAGAGGAAACCTCTGATTTTGTAAAAGTACGTATTTTGAGAAAGTATAGCATTGGTCGGTCGATCGTATAATATATATAAATATATATAAGTGAACGGGTTATACTGTTTTCACTGTGTGTCTCTATATGTGTCTACAGGCTGAGAACCAAAATGGTGACCAATGCGCTTTAACTTGCCGCCATTTTTCTCTTTTCTTCATATATCCAGTGTTCTGGATTTATCAGTAGAATGTATATTATATGTTTTGCCAGTTTTGAAATTCTTCATGTACGAAATGCTATGTTTCGTGAAAAAAAAACAGATTTCGTCAATGATGCCTCGCACGCACCTTTTTCGATCGTTACTTTTACCTCGGTTACTTTACGAGGGTTAACTTCGTCCCTTTTCTGAGCGCACCTAATAATCACTTGCGTCCCTCTTATATAGTATATATATATTATACGATTTCGGAGATTTTTCAACAAATTTCTAGGAGAAGAATTACACAAAGTACCACTGACTGGTCGAACCGAACCAAGTGGTTATGTTTTCATTGCAAATCTTTCGCTGTAATGGTCCGTGAAATACGAAAATGAAAAAGATGTTCATCTCTTTTCCTACTGCGTATAATCAATATATAATATATATATATATAACTTTTAACTTGCGGAGAAATGTTTAAATCGTTGAAATAAAATTCAATTTTATATTTTTCTTCTTGGATTCGCCGTTTATCAATAAAATTTGACTTATAGATATAATATCTATATTGCGGTAAATTCTATTATAGAGAAACTGGGGCTTGATGTGTATTAATTTTTCGACTTTTTTTTTTTTTTTTTTTTTTTTTTTTTGAAATGCGACTATAGTTGATACTTTTTGTAAATTCGAAAAGTATTTTTATAAATTGAAATTAAGTAATATATTATTTATGCGTCTCGTTATTTTGTACAACTAATATTAAAAATAACAAATTAATTTATTTTTAAAATTAAAAATATAAAAATTGTAGAAAAGAAAATTTTGGATTTTAATAGTTGTTAAAACTAACATTATCGCACCGTTTGCACAATATAAAAATAGTTACACAGAAAATTAAAAGGCATTAAAATAAGCTGCAACGCTTCTTATTTTAATCCAATTTTGCTTATTTTAATCCATTTTGGTA